TTAAAATTATATTATTTTAATAAATTTTTATTTTAAAAGGCTTAAATATATTTTTTAATTTTTTAAATAAAAATAAGATTATTTTAATTTTTTCTCATAACATTTTATTAGAACAAAAATTTTTAAATATTTTTTATTTAATTTTTTATAATATAAATTAATACCCATAATTTCACACACACACACATATATATATATGTGTGTGTTTGGGATTGCTGTGAAGTATTATGGTTGTAGCTGTGGTTGTGCTTTAACTGTAACTGTGGTTAAAAGTTATTTTGGTGTTTGATTATTTATTTTTCAAAAGTATTAAAGATGAAATATGATAGATTTTATTAATTAAAATTTTTTAAATATTTTTTATTTAATTTTTTATAATATAAATTAATACCCATAATTTCACACACATATATATATGTGTGTGTGTTTGGGATTACTGTGAAGTATTATGGTTGTAGTTGTGGTTGTGCTTTAACTGTAACTATAGTTGAAAGTTATTTTAGTGTTTGGCTATTTATTTTTAAAAGTTTTATAAATGAAATATGATTGATTTTATTAATTAAAATTTTAAAAATATTATAAAATATATAATATTTATTATTTTTTAATAATTTAAGTTTTTTAAAAAAATTTTAATTATTAAAATATTATAAGTTAAAATGTAATTAAATTATATAAAATTAAGTTTTAATAGATAATTTTATAATTATATTAAATATTAAATGTTCTCCGTAAAAGTTATGATCAAAGAGTTTCAAAATGAGACATTTGATTTTATATATTAAATTACTATATATTTATTATGATTTTCTATAACTTAAAAAAAATACCAAATATATATATATATCTAAAAATATCATATAACTACACAAAAAAACTCCCGATCGCAATCCCAAACGCATGACTGCAAAATGAGAGCTGTAAAATAGTTTGGACTGAAAAAGTTTTTTGATTTCAAATAATAAAATAAATATAAATAACGAAAGAAGCTCTCCTAGAAACGCGGCGGGATGTGACCTATGAATACTACTAGTATTTTACACTAAACAGGTCTTTTTTCCGTAATGTAGGTTACAGTGGGAAGGAATTTTGAAGGCTTTTTAAAGTCAAAGAGTATCACAGCACAGGACAAGGTCGCCTTGCTTCTGGGTTGGAGCATCAATACGTGCCCAGAGATCTGCAGCTGGCGGGATTTGTGGCAGGAATCCTTCCCCACTCCACCATCTGTAGTGATGGTAGACCGAGGTCCGTGACCTCGGAGCTCGAATGAACTAAGCCATGCCCATTAACCTAGTCACCTCGAACATTGTACGAGGCATGATGAGCTCAATCAAGTTCAAGTTTGTCCCTTTTGTTCTTGTTCTACAGTAGCTCCATACATACACAGATTTCTTGTGAGAGATATCTGCGATGATTGACACGTATGACTCTGGTTTTCCGTAAAGATGAACACGTGGACACCTCTTTGAATACTATAAATACCCTCCAAGGGCCCTCCTCAAAAGGTAATTGAAATCAAGCTCGAGTTTAACTCTCACTTTATATCTAGTAGCTCTGATTACTACTAACTTAGGTATTGGAGTGTCTACCCCGAGGATTAACCTTAGGGCTTTGCAGGTTGGCCAAAGTGAAGATCCAAGCTCGAGAGCACTTCAGAGTTTTTTGCAACAACATTGGCGTTGTATGTGGGAAACTCGAATAAAAAGCTTTAAAGTTTTATTTCTATGTTGATCTGGTTGATCAGATGAAGGAGAAGATAAGTGAAAGGCTCATGGCCGATTCTCTTGAGTTGCAGAAGTAGATCTGATGAATTTGCAAAATGGGTTTATGAAAAAATAAAAAATAAAAAATCTCACAAATGTGGCACCCTCAATGAGAGAAGATGAGCTCGAGCTTAATGACAGTAGTAAAGCAGCCCAGCTTGGCAGCAGCACAACAGCTAGCTTGGCAACAGCAAAGCGGCCCGCTCGGCAGCAACAAAGCAGTCCAGCTCAGCAGTAGCAAAGCTCAAAGCAGTGCTCCAACTTAGCAGAAGCAAGGCTGTCCAGCTCGGCAGCAGCAGAGTAGCCTAGCTCAGCAGCAACAAAGCAGTCCAGCTCGGCAACAACAAAGCTCAAAGCACTCTTTAGCTCGGTAGAAGGAAGGCAGTCCAGCTCGGCAGCAGCAGAGTAGCCTAGTTTGGCAGCAGCAAATCAGTCTCCTAGCTCGACGGCATGCACCGAGCAAATTTGTAATGAAGCTCGTTGAAGAAGACGCGAGCAATCAACAAAATATGATGATGAATCCAAGAGAAAAGTCCTTGACCAAGGAAACAAAAGCCCATGGGTCCAATGACAGAAGAAGACTAAACAACTATGGCCGGGCTAACTAGGATTGGGCTGCATTACCCAAGCTCGACAATGACGTGTTGCAAGCATCCTGCTCAAGTAGGAGTTGCAGAGCTCAAACACAAGCTATCGAGGTCAACCACGAGCCGTAGAACTCGAGCACGAAGTGCAAAGGTCGAAAGCGCAAAACTCGAGCACTAAGTGCAGAGGTCGAAAACGCAAAACTCAAGCACGAGGTGTAGAGCTCAAACACGAGCTATCGAGGTTGAGCATAAGCTGAAAGATGTGGAGCATGAACTGCAAGGGGTCAACACCCTCAGCAACGTGTTGACACCTTTTTTGCATGTGTGCCAAAGGGTCCGTCTCGGGTTTTTGTCTTTCTCATCAAATTCTGTTAATGGTAAAATTACAGTCTCGATCCCTTACTTATGGATTCTGCACAATTTAATACTCAAATTTTATATCTTTGCAATTTACTCCTAAGAATTATGATTTCTTCTAATTAAGCCCTTTCCCGCACAAAGAATGAAAATTATGTAAAATTAAGTAAATTTTCATAAAACTCATCCAAATATCAATAATATCAAGGCATAAATTCGACATTAATATGTATATAAATTTAGTTCATCAGTCATGTATTGTTTTGAAAATTAAAAAAGATGAACTTGCAATCTTTTTCTTTTATTTATTTTATATAGTATACTTTCTTGGTTATAAGACCGGATGCCTTTGATTTCTCTTTTTTTTTTTAAGTCCTTGTGATATAGGTTGTCAAAGAAAGCAATCAAGCACCGCAGCAAATTAAAGCTTTGGTCCAAGCTTGGTCCAATCTTATATTGAAATTTATTATTAATTGCTTTTCGCATTTTTTGCATTCATTCCACATTTTTCCATTCATTCTACACTTGTTTTTGCATTCATGATATCATTTTGCCATCTCATTTTTTATATATCATAATCATGCTACTTTTCTCATTTGCACTCATGATAATAAATATACATTGCTATTTTAGAGATAGAAAGTGCAAGGAACATGTTAATTAGGTCGGCCTAGTTAGCATATATGAAGCTCCCTATAGACAGTTTGCTATCAAAAAATCAAAAGCTTCTTTGGATGAAATTCAAGCAAGAAGGGGGAAGAATAAGGGGAGTTCTACATCAAAGTTTTATCTTCCACTCAAACCATGTCAATAAATGAGTAAAGCTAAGTAAGACCTAAATCTCCACTCGAGTTGGGCAAGATCCAAATCTTGATCTAATATGCTTTTCAAAAAGAATGATGAGTTGAGAAAGCTCGAATGAAGAATGACAGGTTCTCAGAGCTCTGACCTCACATATTGCAGTAAAATCCCTTTATGGTGAGCTCCTCCATCAAAATTATGTACGAGCTATGAATAACTCCTCTATAAAAAATTTTAAAAGGCCGCGGCCTCCAATCATAAAGCTCAACAACTTATAAAGATGATCAAGTAAATTCATTCTCCACCATTATTTATGAGAGGCTATATTCTTTCTCCATCATTTGCTCCTAAGTCAAGGCAAGAGGGAGTTAACATTGTCCATGAGAAGCTAAATTCTTTCTCAAGCTTCTATCTCATCAGGTGCAGTTCTTCCCTCAAGTATAAATTAATTCTGCACGGCAAGTCAAGTAAGTGTTACATATTATAAATTTCAAAATTTCCTTTACACATTTAAGATTTTTATGAGTTAGTTTGCAAGTCCAATTTTTGTTATTATATTTACAAGCTAGAAAGACTTTTTATTACAACATGCATGACTGCTTGTTCATTAGGCATGTTAAATAAAAAATGCAAATAATATAATTTACGATTACAACATTTATGTTTATTGGCCCCGAATGTGCGGGTTGATGGGGGGGGAAGAGTCATATATTATGACTTCTAATAGGAACCTATGATTGAAAAAGTGCAGCTTCATAATTTATTTTAATTACAATTATTAATTGTGATACTGAGCTAAAGATATATGTGTGTATATATCTGTATCATTATCATATACTGTTGTCAGCCTTGAACTTTAACAATAGAAACTTCATGTGCTAACTTAGGAACTTAAACAAGTTCATAAAACTTGGTTGAGTTCATCCTCATGATAGCCCAATTCGAGGTGAACTACCTTGGATGAGGTAAACAACCTTGGATGAACTCAACTGCTTGAGCTCATCCTCATGACAACCCATTCCGAGGTGAACTACCCTGGATGAGCTAAACTACCTTAGATGAGGTAAACAACCTCGGATGAGCTCAATTGCTTGAGCTCCTCCTCATGATAGCCCATTCCGTGGTGAACTACCTTGGATGAGGTAAACAACCTCGGATGAACTCAACTACTTAAGCTCATCCTCATGATAGCCCATTCCAAGGTGAACTACCTTAGATGAGGTAAACAACCTCGGATGAGCTCAATTGCTTGAGCTTCTCCTCACGATAGCCCATTCCAAGGTGAACTACCTTAGATGAGGTAAACAACATCGGTGAACTCAACTGCTTGAGCTCATCCTCATGACAGCCCATACCGAGGTGAACTACCCTGGATGAGCTATACTACATTAGATGAGGTAAACAACCTCAAATGAGCTCAACTGCTTGAGCTCCTCCTCATGATAGCCCATTCTAAGGTGAACTACCTTGGATGAGGTAAACAACCTAAAATGAACTCAACTGCTTGAACTCATCCTCATGACAGCTCATTCCGAGGTAAACTACCCTGGATGAGCTGAACTACCTTAGATGATGTAAACAACCTCGGATGAGCTCAACTGCTTGAGCTCCTCCTCATGATAGCCCATTTTGAGGTGAATTACCTTGGATGAGGTAAACAATCTCGGACGAACTCAACTACTTGAGCTCATCCTCATGATAGCCCATTTCGAGGCCAACATACAAGAGATTAAAAATTAAGGGAAACCCAAAATACTAATCCTTTAGCTTGGCACACATGCCAAAAAAGGCAAGTGCAATGAGATCATCTAATATCTACTCATTCATATTGTAGAACTCTTTGATCAATGAAGAACAAAGAGACACATATATATTAGTTATAATTTGAATTAGAAATTTAAGTGTTTAAAAGCTATACTACATCTCTACTTTGGATTCTATAAAGCTTGAGATTGCCTAGCTTGGGATGCACCATGCTTAGCTAAAGATATAGCTTGGTTGAGCTCAGTAATCGAGCTTAGTAACCAAGCTCAAAGTTGCCGAACTGTATGATGATGCACTAAAATCACCCTAACAAGTGTACTAGTCGCTCCAAGTAATATAATGATGAATAGAGTGTCAAACCCATGAGAATTGTGTCTAACTAAGTACCAAAATAATTAATCTAAATTTATTTGAACAATCAAATAGGAAGAAACTTTAATTGAAAATAATAAAAAGAAAATAACAAATAAATCTAATCAAGATAGGAGGTACTAAGGCATTTATTTCACCATAATCAATCAATATAAATTCTGGATTAATATACTTTCAAAACCAATTTATTGAGTATTATTGCATGTGATGACGGATTTCCCTAAATTAATTAACTAGCTTTCTCAAGTCAAATTAATCATTCACTGATTTGTTAAATTAATCATATCTCTATGTAATTTTAAACAAACTAATAAGCATTAGTTTCTATGAAAACCTCTAGCTTAAGAAGGGGGAGCTACTAA